GAATGGTCCTTAAAGTTTCCTGGAAATAAAAACAAGTGATTGGTACTTTGAAGACATTCTTCAGCTAAGACTTCAGTGTCTTGCAAAAGCCACAAATGACTAGAAGAACAGGTGATCTTGGTGATGCACTTGCCTGTATACAACGAGTATTTTTTTTTCTCTAAAACTGGAAATAAATCTGTTAGAAATAATGTAGCCACAAAAAAGTGACTCTGAAGGATACTTTTGCCAATAGTTATAGCAGTTACACTGAACCAAAGTGACTGAGTTTGTACACAATGGTAACTAGTACCAAGCACACTCACTGTCCTGATCTGAACGCCCAGCGAAGTTCACGACTGTGCTAGGATTTGCAGCATTGTGTTCTTTTGCATTCTTTTTTACTTTTATTAAAGGTTCAAAACCATCCGTTGTATTCTTAAGGCTTTCTTTCGGAGGAGACTGGCACTTCTGCACAGGGTGTTGGGTTTCTGGGGGAAGGGGTTTTCAGTGTGATGGAATCTTGGCATAACCTTTGGGAAGTGAACTTTGAGGAGGTTTCCTATGTGGGGGGAGCTAAGTGAATCCAGCAAAGCTTGCCACTTGCCCTCCCTCCCCTACCGGTGTGCAGAAGCAGGTAGCAAGTACGAGATGCTCACCTGTTCTTTCTTGCAAGCTACCGGCCTCAGGGTTCAGGGTGGAGTGATTGGTGACTATGTGCAGAAAAGCCTCTTGTGCTTGTTCTTGTGTGCTGAAAGGCTCAACACAGAGATTCCCTGCAACCCCAGAGCACCCCACCATGCTTAACAGCCCAGTTGCTGGAGTTTGAGCACTGACGCCTGTTGCTCTGTAGCAGTTGCCCTAGTGCATTGTAACACAGACCCAAACCATAGGTTCCCACACCATCCAAGTCAGGGCTGACACAAGTAGGGACAAGTGTGCAAATTCTCTGGCTGGACACCAAGCATTCACCTGAGGGAACCCTAGTGTGTGCGACAGTTCCAGCACAGCTCACTCTAAACTTGTATTTTGCAGGCTAAGCTTCACCCGAATTTTCACTGATCTTTGTACAAACTACCATTGCAGGAAAGGCACAGTATGAGGTTGATAAAACACTCCTGCCCCGCTCTCTGAAGCCGTTTGAGAAGGTGCCCTCAGTAGGGGCTCAGGATGGTCAGCAGCAGCAGTTACAAGTTCTTAAAATCCCTGTGCCCATACATGGAGAGATGCCTGACAGATTTCAATTGTCCTGTACATAGGTAAAGTGTGAAAAGGCTGGCCAACATCTACCTCTTTCACCCCCAGAGAGCCAGACAATCTGTAGTACAGCCTCTTTCCCCTGGAGCTTCAGACTCTGATACTAAGACCACACAGCCTTAAGGTCAGCACAAAATCACAACAGACTCGAGTGCACCAGGAAGCTAGCCTGCTCCCAGCCTACCTGTCTTGTGGTTTACTCTTAGATTTGCGGGAGGTTCATAAATAGACAACAGATGGCAGTCCTCTATATTGACAGACAAGAAATGGGTCCAGAAATAGATGAGTCCTGATAGCCAAAGAATACTCTGGATTCTCCCTTAGATACTTTTAAGACATACCTGTATTTTTTTTTTTTTTAAGATTTATGTGAGTACACTGTCACTGTCTTCAGACACACCAGAAGAGGGCATCAGCTCCCACTACAGATAGTTGTGAGCCACCATGTGGTTGTTGGGAATTGAATTCAGGACCTTAGGAAGAGAAGTCAGCAGAGCCATCGCCTCTGCCCACACCCCCACCCGCGCCACCCGCATACCTGAATTTTCACACTTACTGGGATGAGGGGAGAATGAGGAAAAGGCAGGGTGGGAGGGGCTTAGTTCAGCGCTCAGGTGTGGGGTTTAAAATAGTAGCGGCAGTCTCAGTCCTTGGCTGTTAGGAACATCAGAAATTCCCAGGTCCACCCTGGGTTGTCTGAAGGAAGAAGGGAGCCAGATCCAGGAAAGTGTCCTGTCTCAGGGTGACTGGCCTCCGTCATCTAAGGGCAGAAGTCTGCATTGTGCCTCTGCAGATCTCACTGGGCCCTGCCTTGCATTCTGGGTTAATTGTGCCACACCTGAAAAAGAGGTTCAAGTCCCAACCTCCAACAGTTCAGACTTGCTTCCAATATAGTCCTTTTACAATATACATCCATTCTAGAGAACCCTGACGAATGAAAGGCTGCTAGGGTGACCTTAATCCCAAATGACTGGTGTCCTTATAAGGACAGAAATTGGGACAAATGGACACTGATGGGAGATAGCATGGAAACCTGGCTTAAAGTTTTATTGCTGTGAAGAGAGACCATGACCAAGGCAACTCTTACAAAGGAAAACATTTAATTGGGGCTGGCTTACAGTTTCAGAGGTTTAGTCTATTATCGTGGTGGCAAACAGGCACAAGTGATGGAGAAATTGCTGAGAGTTCTACACCTGGGTTGGCAGAAAGAAACAGACACACTTGAGCTTCTGAAAACCTCAAAGCTCCCCTCCTAGTGACACCTTTCCTCCAACAGGCCATACCTCCTAATAGTGCCACTCCTTATTGGCCTATGAGAGTGAGAGGGCATTTTTATTCAAACCACCACAAGACCCAAGGTTAGAATGCCTGTGAGGACTGGACTGAGCCCTAGGAGGCCAGATCCTGTCTGAGCTGGAGAGGCATGGAACACACCCTTACTTGCCAAGATAGCCAGACCTACTCACACCCGGCCCTTCAACTCCTGGCCTCTGGAAAGCAAGCTGGCCATGTGAAGCTCCCTAGAGCAACACAGCTTGAAGGTGAACCTCACCAGATGCTGGGTATGTGACCAGAAGGCACCAAGACTGAAATAGAAGTACAGCCGCAAATAGAAGTACATCCATGATGTCTGCTAGGTTGCAGGACTATGGAGACAAGCAGGAATGCACAGTCCTCAACACAGAGGGGAAAAAGAGGAGAGGAAGAGAGAAGGAGGAAGCCGAAGACAAGGTGGTGTCCAACCAGAAACACTAGACTCCACCCAATCCATGGGTTTCTAGCAGTGGCATCAAAGGGACAGCCCCAGGGATGACTGAAATGGAGAAATCTCACCCCAGGGATGAAAGTTCCTGAGGGCCACCCTCCTCCCTCTTCTGGGGAGTATTCAGTGCTGCAGAGGCAGGGGGCTAAACAGAAAACATTTCTATCAAAGCTGGCCAGGCATAAGAGATTCAAAGCAATGTGGGATTCTACTGAGGTGAACTATGTGATTCCCAGCCAGTGTGGGAGAAGAGGCTTTGTGGTCTCTCTGTGCAGGAAATACGGATATTGTTACAGCTTAAATGAGCCAGGATTTGGAATCTAAGGAGGCAGAAATAGAACCAGCTCCCTTTGTGAATGGAGAAAAGTTCACAAAAAAGTTTGCTAGTCTTAGTGGCTCAGATTTTAAAACCAGCAGGAACCAGGAAGGGTTTCAGTCCCCAGCCCTGAACCTTCCTTTTGCTATCAATTGTAATACTAAGTGTGGGCCCCCAAGACCTGTAATCCCAGAGGTGAGAGAGTCTGCAGAAGAGAGTCCTCATGTATACCTTGGTCCCAAGTTATTTCTCATTGGTAAATAAAGATGCCAACAGCCAATAGCTGGGCAGAACTGACATAGGTGGGGTTTAGGTTTTGCAGGCTTGAGGTTGGAGAAGAACCATGAGAAGAAGAGTGCAGGAGGAGGAAGGAGAAGCCGCTTTGGGTTAGAAGTCAAGAGAACGTGGCCCTGAGAGCTGGACAGTAGGAGTTAAGAGCGGTCCAGGTGAAGCATAGTGATAACTGGGGGTTATCGATAGGAAGGTAGATTCTAACAGCATAGAGGGTAGGCATCTATCCAACTTTTATACTGTTTAAGGCTTATTGTAAATATAAAGGCTGAAGGCTGTGTATGTGTGTGTGTGTGTGTGTGTGTGTGTTTCATCCAGAAACTAAAGGGTCAAAGGTGAGATAGAAACCCCGGACTGGAATTTAAATATTTTAACACTTTCCTACCCAGATCAACCTGTATCCTTTTTGCCTTGTCCCACCCCCACCCCGTACCTCAGAAGGTCAGAGGAGAGCTGAGTGTGCAGGCAGAGGCTCCCCGACCCTTTGACAGCCTCACCCAACTCTAGCCAATTTTTGATGACAAAATCCTCTGCTTCTGGTCTATGGCTGCTTCTCCCAGGGGACCCAGAGTCTGACCATATCAGCAGGAACCTTAGAGTCCATGTACTCTGCTGTTTGGTCACCTTCACTGTGTTTCTACCCTACCTGTCCCCAGCTGGAGTGCAGTCCCTGCTACAGCTATTTCTCCTGCTGATCCAAGCCCTAGCCTGTGGCTCAGGCACTGCTCCGTGTCCGTGTCCACTGGGAAGCCACTCCCCTGGGCTTTGCATTGATCTTTATCCCCTTCACTGGGA